CCAGCCTGGGCTACACAGCGAGTGCGGACCAGCCTGAGCTGCACAGTGAGACCCTGTCTCAGAAAAGTGATGGGGGCTGGGCATGGTGGCACATGCCTATAATCCCAGACCACTAACACGCCAGCAAACTATGCCCTCGTGTACAGTGAGGACAGAAGCTCAGGGTGGATGCGAATGTCCCAGACATTGAGGCTGAGGCCAGAGGATCACTGAGTCTGAGGCCAGCCTGGGATAGATAGTGAGTTCAAGGCCAGCCTGGTCTGCAAAGCACAGCAGCTAAGGATAAAATATGGAGAGGTTGGCAATGAGAGGGGACCCCATGCCTAGGAGTGATGGGAAGCCACTTGTCATGCCATCCCTGTCATGTGTGGGTTCTCTTAGGCACCATTCTGGCAGTCCTTGTTCACCTGTGCACAGGCGGAGAAGGGGTCAGAATAACGCATCCCACAGCCCAGAGCGCCTGCCACACGGGAGACATGGGACTCTGTTGTTCCCTGGGTCTCTGTCTCCTCGGAATGCACCTGCAGCCTCACTTGCACCAGTGTGAGTAGGTGTGTGAGTAAAGACCCGGATGTGGCCAGGTGTGCTCCCCTGGGCCTGGGCTTCTAGAGCCACCGTGTGCATGGTGGGTCGGACACAGGGAGGCTTGGTCAGCATTTGTTGGAGGAATAACTGAGATGTCCCATGATCCGTGCTAAGCAAGGCTTACCAAAAAAAGGAAAGGAGAGGAGGAAGGGGAGGAAGAAGAAAAAAAGAAAGAAATGGAAGGAAGAAAGAAAGGAAGGAAGGGAGAGAAGGAGGGAGAGAGGGAGGGAGGGCAGGTGGGGAGGAAGACAGCCACCTCCGCTCGGCGGCTCCCTCTGGGCCTTCGTTTCTGGGTCAGTCTGTCTTTTGGGAACTGATGCCTGTGGAAACTGCCTGTGTAGCTGAGATTGGTTTGGGGACGGCCCTGCGCCTGGAAGCGCCTCCCAGCCACCCTCCCTGGCTGCTGCAGCTGCAGGCAAAGGCTCCGGGCCAAGCAGGGCTGCACCGGCCGATTCCCATGCGGGCCTCCTGGCCTCCCTTGCTGCTTGAGGAAGTTCTTACGCACACACTGAACTGGAGGCCTGGTTTGGGTTTCACAGGAACCCCAGCCATCCTGACTCAGTGGGGATGGGAACTTGCATTTCTAACGCTCCCAGGCAAAGCGGCTACTCTAGCCTAGGGGCTGTGTCTGAGGACCCCTAGGGTGGCCACTGCAGTGCCTGAGCATATTGGCTACTTGGGGAGGTGATGGTGGTCACTGGAACTCATAGCTGTGAGCATGCTTTGCCCCCTGCTTGTACCGTGTCTCACCTGTCACTGTGGCCTTTGGTCCCTCACCACTGCCACCTCAGCTGGGACTGCCTTCCGGCTGCAGGCCTTGGCAGGCACTCCTGGCACTGGCTTGGACAGCTGCATGGCTTTGGCCACGTATGGCCTCCCTGGCCCTCCTGTTCGTCTTTTGAGAGGGAGCTGCGATCATCTTCAGAGACTCAGCTCATTGGGTCCGTGCAAAGGCAACACGCTGAACAGGGCTACTAAAATCTGAGTGCTCCACAGTGTCACTGCGCTGAGCCCTGCTCTGCAGTGAGGACAGAGGCAAGGGTGGACATGGTCGCCCCAGGCTGCCCAGTCGTCAGTGTGGTGCCAGGCTCAGATGGCAGCGGCTCACAGCATGCAGGAGTCTGCTGCCGCAGGGCCTCACACCTCTGCAGCCTCACGGAGGGGCGAGGCTCAGGTGGAGGAAGAAGCGCC